GGCGTTCCCAAACCGCCCTACCCCCTCCACCCTTTCCGCACAGGGGTCCGACGGATTGGAAACGCCGGACCTCCGACACCCGTGCACGGTCGGGGGTCCGGCGTTCCCAAACCGCCCTACCCCCTCCACCCTTTCCGCATGGGGGTCCGACGGATTGGAAACGCCGGACCTATGACACCCCTGCACGATCGGGGGTCCGGCGTTCCCAAACCGCCCTGCCCCCTCCACCCTTTCCGTACGGGGGTCCGGCGGATTGGAAACGCCGGACCTCCGACACCCGTCCTCGGTCGGGGGTCGGGCGTTCCCGAAACGCCGTGCCCCCGCCATCCTTCCTGGGTGGGGAGGGGGGGGGCATCGGAATGGAAATCCTCGACGTCCTGCCTCGAAAGGATGGCGACGGTCCGGCGGATTGGGAACGCCGGACCCCTCGACCATGCATGGTTGTCTGGTATGCAGCATTCCCGAAAAGATGGCGGGCGTATGGCGGGTCACGTGCCTTCTTGAATGTGTCGGACCACGTGCAAGTGTTTCTGTGTGGTGCTCATTGTTGTTCTTCTGCCCGTCTTTGTTTTGCATTTGCCACCGGCAGGTAAATCTGGTGCGCCGACCTCTACTCAAAATAAACGGTACCGCAGGTCTAAGACTTACAACAGCAAACCGTGGGCTCTTGACTGGGTAGGCGGTTTGCATAAACCGGGGTGTGGGGCTGTTATCTTGTTAAGCGATGACAATGGCGCCACTTGGTACTGTTGTGGGGGTGTGGAGAAATCCGAGGCGGGCAGGAAGACCTACGAAGGGACGACGTTTAGGACCTTCTTCCTCACGTCCGTCTTCGACAGTGCTGGGATGGACTGGGTCAAGGAAGACAAGAAGGTCTTCCTTGACCTGCGTCTCTTCCAAGGATACGGATGAGCAAACCTTTGGTCCAATTCAACAGTCCAATGGACCTGCTGCCAGGTGTGGTTAAGCGGTACAGGGAAGACTTCTCAAAGCTGCCGCCTGATCAGCAAACGGACTGTGTTTTTTTGCCCTTCGAGGCGGGTTCCAAGAGCAGGCGACAAACACCGTCCGCGACGACAGGGAAGACAAAGCAGTTGCCGGGTGGGCCGTCGGGCACGAATCTTCCCTCGCCCTCCGTGAGGGGAGGTCGTGATTTGGCTCAAGGTTCAAGCGAGGCAACGGAGTTTGATGACATGCTTCTGCACCAGCGCAATGTTGGCCGTGAGAATTCCCAGGGCAGTGCAATTGCCCTGGACGAGGACAACGACGAGGACGAGGAAGGAGGAAGTGTTGGGCCGCATGACGACGGCAGTAATGAAGCAGATGTGGAAGTTGGGGATGACAACATGGAGGACCAGGGCGGGCTTGCTGACGAGGATGCCGACACGCCAATGCATGGTCATGACATCTCCCCCGCCAGCGCTGTGGGAGCCGCTATTGGTCAGCCCTCGACGTCCCGTGGAATTTCGCTATCGCAAAGCAGGAGTAAGGGTGGGCACGACTCACATGCAATTCAAGGACCGAAGGCGAGGAAAAGAACAAGGGAGACTTCTCCGTCTGCTTCTACTCACAAGAGGCAAGCCAGGACTGACGCTGTTAATGAGGCTTGTGGAGCTTTGACAGCGTCCCAGGAGGTGCGGCCTCCTCGGAAGAACAGTCCAGGGGGGCGATCTTGGGGTCAAGGCGGTGGCCGTGGAGGGGCGCGGAAAGGCTCCCAGAGGGTGAGACCACAAGAGCTGTGGGACTCGGGGGATGAGGGCGAGGGAGTGGATCCTCGCATGCCCGAAGATGCTGATGAGCCGGTTCAGCGCGTCGCGCCCATCGACACTACGCATTGTTTCTTCCTCGAATACGACGACCAAGGCTTTGCTACGCAAGACGTCCATGCTGTTCACGTGGACGTCATGAGAATCAAACGCATTCCCCGCGGAAGGATTCTTTTCAACCACCGCTCGTTGTCTGAAAACATTTTGCGAGGCATCGAGAATGCCATCGAAAGCTCCATCGGCACGGACCTGGGGGCGTGGGATAGGCCCGAGCTCGTGCTTGCGCCAGTTGACCGCAATGACATTGTCGGTGGCCAGGGAAGACGGATCACGCCGACCGAATTCTTGGAAAGGGACCTGGCAGAGTTCGACTGGTACGCTGTTTGTGGTCAGCATACCATTGAGGCCATGAAGAGATTGGTCAGAAAGGGATCCCCGGCAGTTAAAGTTTATGCCCTTAACGCGTACTCTAAGGTGCGGGTCGTCTATTTCGGAGATGATCAAACACGAGGGTATTTCAATGTCTCCTGCTTCGACAACACACGTGAAAATCGCTCCATGATGTTGTCATTCGAGGACGCTGTCTGTGACATCAGGCAATGGTGGATAGACAACAATAGAATCGAGGCCCCGAAAGCCAAGGTCAGCGAGAAGGATGAGGTGGCCGTTGCACATCAGAAGACGTGGCAGAACTTCTTGAGGGTCTGCATGGGGAAGGCATGCGACAAGGCGTTTGTAAAGCAAGCTCTCGAGAATGAGTACAGTAAGGATTGGAGTAATAAACTCCGGGGCTACATGAACCTCGCCACATCCAGTGTCGCAGTGTGGCCACTGGTCGAGAGGTTCTTTGAGATGTTCAACGAAGGAAAGCTGCCAGTTGGCGATGGCAAAATCCCGCTTGACATGCCCGGGAGAATGGAAGGCCGCCTGCCAGGCCCGTACACCGACGAGACCMAGGRACAAAGAACATTRTACCATTGCATATATGCAATAGATGGTCCCAAAGGCTCCACCGTRTCGTGGAAGGACCTTTGTCCTTCCTACTTTAAAAATTTTGGGGATTTGACATGTCGTGAGAGGGAAGTTGCGTTGCTCCTGCTCATGAAGGGGAAGGTGGTCGCAACGAACGTCAAGGTCTTGCCTCCAAGAGTGAACACAGAGTGCCTCCTCGACATCATGTGAAAGGAGCGGTACATGGTGCGTATGTTCAATTATGTTCTGTTCCGCGCCGAGGGAAGGGCGAACGACGAATGGAACGACGCGTTCTTCATGTCGTACAAGGACCTTGAAGACAGGTATGGGCCAAACGGTCTGTGCGCTGCTGAATGGGAGAAGGAACGGGACAAGTTACATGTCAATAAGGTGAAGATGGTCCCTTGACGACTTGGAGGAGTGGAGGAGGCAAGGCAAGGCGCGGGCTTGGGGCCTACGGCGGCAATGTACAAGGAGGCTCCGTTTCACCTTAAGGTCTTCATATACACTCCAATCGATTAGCTCGATTTGCTTCGCGCCGAGGTGAAACGGATCGCCTCCAGCGCGCGTCATGGGACAAGATTGGCAAACAAACGACGTTGCTACCTGTGTGCATGCCATCGAAGGAAGTGTTGGCAGCGCCAGACGACATCCTCGCTGCAGCGCAAAAAATGACATGCAGGGCCGCCATCGTGGACATCCCATCCTCGAACTTCAGCACGGCGTGGACCTCTCACGAATTTGATGCCTTGCACACATTGATGACCAAGTGTTGTGGCCAGAATTGGGTCCTTTTCTTCTTTGCGCCGCAGAAGGTGCAAAGCGATGTTCTGCGTCACTTGTTCCGCTGGGAGGACGTCGAAGTCATCCCCGGGACCTGGAAAAGGGTGGACAGGCCACCGAATGACATCACACGATACGGAAATATGGCTACGACGAGTCGAGATATGATGGCCATTGTCCTGCACGCCGACGAAGAGGATCTGAAAAAAGTAACTGTCAAACCCCGACTCCACAACGACCTCACAACCGTGCACGTTGTGGAGGAGAAGTTCGGGAAGTGTTAAGGTTAACACGGTGGGATAGAGGGCGATGATAGTGCGGTGTATTCCATCTGGGAGCGAGAGCCTGGAAAGTTACGTTTATTGTGCGGGTCATTTGTCGGATAGGCGGAAGGTGTGCTTTTGTTGGGTAGAGCACACGCAGGTCTTGTATGGGAGTTATTACTGGCAGGTAATAATGTCCTTGCCTGCGACGAGTCGGCCAAGGACATTGTATATCTGACAAAGTTCGTCGATATACTTATGAAGGATGAGAGATTCGCCTGTCATGTCGAGAAGCCACGTTGCAAACATCGTAGCAACAGAGACATGTTCCACAAGTTGGGACGCAAGAGACTGAAGATGTGGGAGTACCTGTTCCGCGATGCGCCGCAAGGACGGCTTGACGGGAATTACATCTACAGGAAAGCAAAGGTGACAGAGACCCTGAAACATTATCACGGTGCTCTTACTGGCGCCTTTGAGACTTTTGTCGCTTGATGCGAGATCCTGAAGTTCGATCTTCATAAATACCAGCTGATGTCCAAGGACTACGCTGACCTCGCGAATTCGGGTGATGGCCTTAACCCCGTCGACAGCGAGGAAGACTCTTCGGGGTCCGACCTCGAATTGGGCGATGGCAAGGGTGGTGAAGGTCCGGGCGGTGGCATGGTGCGGTCACACGATGAAGGGACCGTTCGCTCGCATGAAAGACCCGTACAGGTGGCCGCCCCCAGTGTTGGCTCGATGGTGGCCCCCATGGAGGGCACTGGTTTGCCAAACATGAGAAAATGTGGTCCCAATGATGAAAATGACATTGATATGCCAGGCGAGGCGTCGAAGCTCGCACCAGGCGATCCAATTCCTCCCGGCTATTGTGCTGATCCGACCACAATTTATTTCTTGGGGGGCAAACACGCCCAACTGGTGAGGACAAGTGGGGCCATGACATTGTGTGGCATGAGGGCATTTTTGAGCCCTGCATCCAAGATGGGGAGTGGAAGATGGCGGTCAAATACACACGCGGATGGCATACGTTTCGCCGGATGTCAAAGGACACTTGGCTGAAAACGACAGAACTCGCGATTATGTACTCCGTGCAAAAGGAGAATCCGGGGAAGAGCGAGGGCGCTGTCAAAGACAAGGCCAAAGAATTGTTTTCTGTATTGCGAGACAATCAGCAGTTGGAGTACAGTTGCAAATTTTACGCCCTGCGAACGAGTCCCTCATGTGGGTCAATCGACTGGAAGGTCAATCAAACTATCGGAACCATGGAGGAGAGCAGCTCTCAGGATGCCGTGCCTTTGTCGGCATCGCCCCCCGTACCCACGCAGGCAGGGCAGAGGGAGGATGACGGGAGTAATGTTGTGAAGACTCAAGAGGTTCACATGACGTCTATGCCGCAAATCTCCCTCGACACGATAAAACCGTCCAAACGCATGGATGTGTCAAATGCATTGTCGTCAGATGCAGGTGCCACGTACGGGAGTTTATTACTGACATCCGCCGCATTAGAAGGCACATCCGAAATGCAGTCAGAGTCAGCTGTTGGCCTGAGCGTGTCGGACAGTCAGTTGTAACTGGAGTTATGCACAGGCAAAGGTGATGCACAAGTACATCTGACACCACAAGGAGGGGCCGTTGCGGATGGTGGGAAGGGTGAGGATGTGGAGGGAATCCTCCATCCTCGCAATCTTGAGACCTTAACCGATGATTTCGATTATGGGGGTGAGGGTGGAAATGATGTGGTCAATACGAGGGGAGTGTGAAATGATCGGTGAGGCGGGACGGGGGCAATGGAGAGGGAAAAACCAACGATATGATTACAATGTTATTCTTTTCTTTATTAATTGAAATCGCACAATTGACTCGTTTGTTTTTAGTTTCAAATGGAACTAGTATTAGTCTTCGTAGGCACTACGACCACCTGATTTTCTTTTATGTATATATATATTTTTCCTCAATATTACGTTCGACCTAAGATGTTTAGGATACTTGCCATTTTCGAAGTGGATGTGTGTATGCGGATGTATTTGGACTTGGATCTCTCTCTCTCTCTCTCTATCTCTCTCTCTCTCTCTCTCTCTCTCTCTCTCTCTCTCTCTCTCTCTCTCTCTCCGACTTGGATGTGTGTATGCGGCCGTATGCAATGAGGGTGGCCAAGGTGTGAGGAATAAATGATTGATTGTATACGTGTATGTGGTAAATGCAAGTAAAAGATTAGAGAAACATTGAAAACATGCGTTGCATGCATTAGCTCCCACAAAGCATTTGGCCATGCACTCACCATCCTTTCCCCATCCGCCCGCGTGAATGTCGTATTCCTCATGTTTGTGGTGTGCAGTGCAAATGACAACAATTGATACAAGATTGTGCAAAAGAGGATGGACAATGCATCTCGCAACTTCGTCTTTATCAAAGAGGGAGACGGCAGCCTTGACGCGTATCATCCGCGAATACGGGAAGAGGTATCCACCACACACGACGTATACATGAACGAGGTGTTGCAATTCACTCGCAACAATTTCCTTTTACTCGCTGTAGAACGTCAGTGGTTAAACGACAATGTCATCAACTTTTACCTCAATCTCATAGCATTGGACAACTGGTGTAAAATACAACACGTAGAATGCGACGCGGAGAATAAGATAGTTATTAGAGAAGGAAAGGGTCGCATTCCTAGAGTTTCGGTGCTGAGCTCATTTTTGTTCGTCAAACTTTTCGACAATGAAATGAGATATAGAGGTCGCGAGGTAGAGCGCTAGTGACATGGACTTGATTATTGCTCCTTTCCATATCGAACACAAGAACCACTGGACCCTTGTCGTGGCTGACTTSASGAGGAGGAAATTCGAATTTTACGACTCCCTCGACCCCGACATGGAGTTGGCGAGAAAGGTGACCGGCGGGTTTGCAAAGTTTATATTCGAAAGATCGAAATCACAAGGCAAAGAGGTGGACACGAAACCATTCAATCACATATGGAATGTAAAGGGCATTCCGAAGCAACACGACATGAACGAGTGCAGGGTCTTTGTGCTAACGTACGCATCACTGTTGGCACGGAGCCAACTTCCACCTTTCTTTTTCACTGCCGATGATATACCCGCGATACGTCGTCGAATGGCTTTGGACACAGTGGCTCGTGAGTAGTGTGTATATGATAATCCGTAATATGATTTGGAGGGGGGGCGGATGCCACAAGATGGTTTGTGACAAAAACAATGTATATAAGGTGCCAAATATTACTCGATACGCTGTGCCACTTGACCCTTGCAATTTACCACATATCCCTTACACCTCACCCCTTACACCTTACCCCGTTCACCTCACACCTTGCCACTTACACCTTACCATTCACCCCTTACACCTTACACCTTACACCTTACACCTTACCCCGTACCCCATACACCAAACATCTCTTTGTAATGGTTTTTGCACCTAAATCAGCTCAAAAATGACAATTTCAATTTCGTTCAAAAAATATAAAATGTCCGTTTTGACGAAATCGTTGTTGAGTGCGGAAAGTGTGCTTGGGATGCTGACGTCAACCTGACTTCAGCGCGCGGCAAGCCGGAGAGAAGGGGGTATGTCTGAGAACCAGAGCGACGGAAAATCATCACTGCAACCTTTTTGGATGGGCAGACAAGAGAGAGGCGCGATCAACCACGATTGAGTGTGAGAGAGAGAAGGAGGTGGTATAAACACAGTCACGGGAGGCAACATTGTGCCAGACGATTAAACTCGAGAGTGAGAAAAGGGGAGTCTCAGAGGTCAACGGGCGTCCGTGTGGTTTGCGTGCCACAGGCGGACAGTGCCCTACCGGTCAGTGCGCGGGCTCGAGCTGCAGTGCATGGAGTGATTATGTTTAGTGTTTACAGTCTATGAAGAAGTCTGACCACGCGTATTAATCATCATCAACTGACGATCTGTATGGAGCGTCTGAATGAAACCTTCATGCTCTTATCGGTTGGCCCCACGCTCTCTGAACGGGGGGCCCCTCTCTTGAGATTAGGCCAACTAATACGTGATCAATGAAATGTCATCTTAGCTCTAGCGTCGAAAGGGTAAACTCGCCTGTCAACTGTTATTCTAACCCTTTTCGGGTCACGTTGATGGGAACGGATTGAGAAAGGTGTTGAGGGAGAGAGGAATCCTCTCTCTCTCTCTCTCTCCCTCTCTTTCTTGCGAAGTTCACGGTTTTGCGAGGAATGTGCTTGATTTAGCGTGTTGACGTCATCAAACCACTGGACTGCAACATGCATAGTCAGACTGGTAGCGGTTTCGATATGGTTCGCCTTATGCTCCGATCTTTCATGGGCTGCCTATGCAAGCCATTGCCTTAGTAGACGGGCCATGGCAGCGCTGCTGCCACGAGATAGCTTGAGTTACCTAGAGTGTGCATGAGAAGATTGCAGACCAAGGAAAGGTTGGGAAAGAGTGAGGAATGACACACGGGGACTCTACTTGTGAGCTTGTTGCTGGAGTCCTCTGCGCTTTGTGCCATCACAGTGTGAGAGTGGGATGAGAGGCAGAACGTCAGATCCGGAGCAGATTGAAGCAAAATTCATTCTGAAGGCTTGTACGGTTTATGGCGTGACTTTGTTGCCGTAATTACGACCCTGAGTCAGAGTGTGTCAGCGGCATAGTTTCAAGTGTGAGCGCGAACGAGTGAGCGCGTGAACTGGAGGCCACTCGTGAGACCCTCTGGATGGTTGGTTCACAAGTCCATGACTGCCATCTCATTCGTTGTCCCAGACCAGCATTAGGTTGTAGGCACACGTGATGTTGGTGAGACCTTGACGAAGGTACGGGAGTGGCGTCTCGTGAAGTGCAAAGGGCATGCAAGAAGGTGGAAATGCAGTAGGCCTTCCCCCTCCTTTGTTGAGTCTTGGTCAGGCCACAAGTGGTTATCAGGTAGCTTAAAATTCAGGAATGAAAATTCTGAAGTGAGAGTTTTTAGCAGTCTGAAAATCCTGAATGGTCTTGAAGTGGTGAAAGGTCCGAAGACCCTGAAAACCACCTGTTTAGGCAGGCTGCATCCTGAAGTGGTGAAGAATGTCCTGAAGTGGTCAA